TAGCGTGGCACCTGTTACTACTAGCGTGGCACCTGTTACTACTAGCGAACGCTAATACGTTGAAGAAACAAACCCATGAAACAAATTCGGCTGAGGACGCAGCCACCGGCGAGCCGCAACAAGGCTTGGGAGGACCGCATGATTTCTGAATGATAACTGTGTCACTGCTCCTAGTAGTGATGCCCTTTGTTCCTAGTAGCGATGCCAGGAGCCCCTAGTAGCTTCTTGTTCCTAGTAGCGATGCCCTTGTTATCCCTGGTTCCTAGTAGTAAGGCCAGGAGCCCCGTTCGTAGCGTCCTTTGCTCCTCAGTGTCACTCTTTGCGTTTGTGGCTTCCAACGGGTCCTTCACTTCGTCTGCGTGCTGCGCTCTTTGATCTTTTTGGCTTGTCTAAAACCCAATTGCTGCGGACGCGATTCCGCAAGGTGCAGAAAGAGATCTTAGTCAGCAACCTGACAACGCGAGCCATCGTTGAAGGTGTGTTTTTTCATTTTTCCCTTGCTCTTCGGCATGTTTCTCTTTTTGGGTTCCGTCAGCTTTAAGTCCGCATCGCTTAGGCGATCGTTAGTTTGGCTTCAGAGCAACTAGCTTTTACCGGAGCGATGAAGTTCGACTTCGGAGTTGTTGAATTCGGATGCCGCAAATTGAATCCTATTGACGAACATCGACAGCTGCGGCTGCTACAGCAGCAATCCCCACTCGCAAGTCACGGTGACGGTGACTTTTTACGTCCTTGAGCACAGAAGCGTTGAACGAACGGGATGTTCACCACAGACTCCCTATATTCAAAACGAACAACTACACACACCCTGACTGCCGTGCAGTCTTCCTAGTAGCGATGTCCTTTGCTCCTAGTAGCGATGCCAGGAGCCCCTAGTAGCGTCCTTTGCTCCTAGTAGCGATGCCAGGAGCCCCTATAATAGCGTCCTTGCTCCTAGTAGCGATGCCCCTTGCTCCTAGTAGCTTCCTTGCTCCTAGTAGTGATGCCAGGAGCCCCTGATAGCGTCCTTGCTCCTAGTAGCGATGCCAGGAGCCCCTAATAGCGATGCCAGGAGCCCCTAATCGCGTCCTTGCTCCTAGTAGCGATGCCAGGAGCCCCTAATAGCGTCCTTGCTCCTAGTAGCGATGCCAGGCCCTAATCGCGTCCTTGCTCCTAGTAGCTTCTGTCTTTCCTTGTCAAGGGTCCTCAACTTAGACTGCGATATCGTCTTCCGCCTTCTTTTCACCCCCACTGGTCGATGATCTGCCACACTAGGAACAAGTGCCCTACTAGTGGTAACAATGTTTGCTATTAGAAACAATATATAGAATTCAATTTAATTCTAATGGGCTTCTTGTTACTAGTAATAAGACACCTGTTACTAATAGCGATGCACTTGTTTCTAATAGCATATTTAAGTGGCCCATAAACTTGGTGAAAAACCTGCAAGTCACGGCGACTTTTTCCGTTCTGATTGAGAACAAGCGTCGAAACGGGATGTTCACCACCGGTGTCTCCACCCCGAGTGGACCGCAGGAGCGGAACGCACAACATCGGTGGCATCATCCTTCTGGTTCGCTGCGTGCACATTCGCCGCTCGTTTTCCGATCTTTGGAACTCCTAGAAAAAGAAGCTACTAGAAACAAGTGCATCGCTTCTAGTAACAAGTGCCTTACTACTAGTAACAAGAAGCTACTAGGAACAAGTGCCGCGCTAGTAGTAACAGGTGCCTTACTAGTAGCAACAAGAAGCTAGTAGTAACAAGTGCTAATTGAAATTTCCATACCTCATTGTAAGCCACCCCGACCAAACTACCAAACCCATAACCTAACTGGCGCGCTGAATCGACAAAACATCGCGAACCTGGCAATTTTGAAACAGGTTCCAAAAAGGAACAGCGCATTGGCACTGGCGGAGTCCTGTGCAAGTTTTTAGGGTTTGGTCGTGTTTGGTTGCAGCTGATGGGTAAGTCCCATATGTGGCTGCAATGGAAAATGCCAATCCGCACACGCACGAGCCCAAATCTACCGCGCACTAAGCACAGTTTATCATTTCATTGCCTGTGGTCGACCTTGTGATGGTGGATTGTGCTACTAGGAGAAGTTGTCTTTGCAAAAGCGAAATCTGGAAGATTGGAATCTGTTTGAAAAGCAACGTTGACCAGGACTGTTGGATCGGAGATGGAAGTCAAGTGTTCCCGAGTCGCTCAATTCGACAAGTTGACCAGTTGTGGAAACACCACCTTGGCTTCAAGTCTTTCAGTGCCCATAGCTGGGAGCACCAAACCAACTGCCTGTGCCGCCGAGGGAAGGGACTCAGTCGCCTTCAAGGCAAAGATCGTTTCCAAAGAGTGCTGGAAAGCAGAGAGAACTGAAGCCGCCGCTTCTACTCCAGTCACCACTGGCTCAGAGCGAACAAGTCCCACCTTGAAAGGGGGTGTGAAAGTGTGTGATGTGGCGAGGTGCAGGCAAATGCAGTGGCTTTGAGGTTTTCGCTTTTGGAGTGCATGGTTTTGCATTTCAAGTGTTTGAGCAAGTGTTCCTGACGGAACTTTGTGTTTCGAAGTGTTTTGGAGAGCTTTGGAGAGCATAGCTGTAGCTCATGGAATGTGCAATGCTTGGAAGCTTTGTGAGAATTTTGTAGTGTGAATATTTCTTGAACAGTTTTGTGCATATTTGAGTGCGTTTAAGCTCGACATTTTCAATGTGCAAAGTTGACCGTGTTGTTGACATACTGAACAAGTGCTCATCAAACATTCCACGTTTGGAAGACAACTTCTGTACTCGTTCTTTTGGGTCCAAGCACCTGTCAAACTCACCTTTTAAATGTATACAATTCCGATCAGAACTGTCGACACAAACAGGTCCATCAACACGCTCCGCTTTGCCTCAGTTCTCTGCTGGCAAAAAGTGCGTTTGTGCAACTTCTGAATTCAGAGTTGGGTGAAGTTGCACTGCAAACCACCCACACCCACACATCTGTTGATCTCAAATTGTGGATGTCCTGAGCATCTCCACCGTTCATCCGCTTGCTTTAGAACAACCATGGAAAACTCCCCAGTCTCAACTCCGCTTGAGCTGTAGTTTTAAAACAGTTCTGGTGGCTAAAAGCACTTTCGGCATGCGCCTCCTCGAACAATGCTAGGATCAACCCTTTAAAACACAGGGCCCATACCTTCTTGCATGTTGACAGGCAAGTGTTCCCAGTAATTGCATAGCAACTACTGATTGAAAGAAGTTTGACCATATCTTGCGTAATGAGGAAAGCGCAGTCAAAACAGCAATGTGCATTGTGAAATTCTCCACCCGAGCAGCTGAGCAATTTGCTCAAATTGTTGTGCCCAAGTCCGTAGCAATTGCGTCGCAGTCAGTCCAAGTAGGTTGCAGGCCATTGCAACTCAGTCCAAGTTGATCTCGCTTTCGATACCTCTTCGATAGAGCATTGCAAAATACGGTGCCCGAGATGTCGAAATTGGCGGATCATTCACTTGAAACGACTTCTTCAGACAGAAGCTAAGCTCAAGCAGAAGCGCCGAAGGACTGAAGAGAGGTCTGAAAATGTCAGAAAATGCTTTGCTTCGAGCTACCCCACCGTGACATTTCAATCATTTGCTTTCATGCTATGGTGCGGAGCATGTTGCCATGGTCGTGAGTTTTGTGGTTTTCGATTTTGCTTGTCCAGTTTGGGATTGCTATTTTAGTGTTAGGGAGTTCGCGTCGGGGTGTCGGCCTCCAGTTGGCATCCAAAACACCCTGTGACCATCTGCCACGGAAAATGCCACACAAACAGGTAATTATCTTGTTGTAGTTGTATCTTTGTGGTTGTATTTGAGTGTTGAAGTTGTGTGTTGTGTGTTATGTTTGCGCTTATGTGGTTTCGCTTGTGGTTGTGTGTTTATGGTTGTGCTTGTGGTTTCTGTGTGTTGTGGCTGTGTGTTTGTGGTTGTGTTTGTGCTCATGCTTTTTGTTGTGTGTTTATGATTATGTGTTGTGGTTGCGGTTGTGTATTGTGTTTTTGTGCTTATGTTGTGTGGTTGTGTGTTAGGTCCGGTAGTGCCCATTGCGATCTGGCGCTTGCTGTTGAGGTCCGGGGTGGAGGAGAAGAAGGAAAAGAAGAAAAAGGCTATCTGTAAAAATCTAACGACCCTCACCTGACAGGTAGCCAATTCAAAGGCCGATGGCCTCCACCCTAATAGCGATGTCCTCCTAGAGAAACTTCTTTGGTTTTGCACCGCTAGACTTAGAAGGTTGGAGGCAACTGTGAAACCCCAAAGTGTGACGAAAGATTCCTGACCAAAGCACAGCGCAGTGCCTTGTGCGCTCTGTAGGACGATCCCTACACACTTCTGGCAACCCAAACAAAACACGAAGCACCAGCACTCAATTCCACTAGGAACAAGGGCATCGCTACTAGTAGCTCCTGGCCTTACTAGGCGGCAGGAAGCTACCAGGACCAGGAGCAAAGGGCAAAGCCACGAACAACGGATCTCTTGTATCCACCGCGTGCGCTGCACCGCACGCGCGGGCAAAGCCAGAGACGAGGTCGGAGACCGGAGATTGCGGAGATTGCAGAGAATGCGGCAAGGAAACCATGGTGGACAGTTGAGCTGGCAGGTTGAGTCGAATCTTTACGTTTTTTAGGTAGCCTGATGTCCGGTGCAAAGGATCTCAACTGAGTTAGAGATGTTGCCCGCACCAACACCGTTCTTTGAAAGCAATTCTCCTTGAGAGGCGTCCTATGGTTTTCATCACTCAGAGACCCTCATAGACTCTAGACTGCCTAAAGCCTAAACTGAGTCTTAAAATCCCCTCCTTGATGTCGGTGGCCAAAACGCCCTCACATCGGCGCCACCTCCGAATTGAGATCCAAACTTCCCACATTTCGCTTTAGGACTTGACTCTCATGACCTGCCATGACATGTCATGATTTGATGTCACACTTTTTTCAGTCTGCCGGGTGCTCCAGTTGAAAAGGGATCTCAAAGAAGACCCGGATGGGTTGGCCGTTGATGGGTTTCCCATCTCCTTGAAGCACCAGCTCAGCAGAAGATTCGTCTCCGAAGTCTGCATAGGCGTGCCCTTGAGGCCGCGCAGTGATCGGATCCAGGGCCTCGACGGGACAGCGATGGTCTATGGCCTCCAACCTATTAGCGTCCTTGCTCCTAGTAGCAATGCCAGGAGCCCCTATA